CACAGTAAGGATAAGTGAATTAATTTAAATAAAAAAAAAGACCTGAACACACATTTGACCAAAGAGGATATGTAGACAGCAAATAAGCACGAGTCGTTATTGAAATGTAAATTAAACATATGATAAGATATTACTGCACACCTATTAGAAAAACTAAAATAAAAAAAAACAGTGACAAGTATTGGCAAAAAGTAGGAACAGTATAACTCATACATCACTGATGGTAACATACAATGGTGGTCACTCTGGTGAAGCTAAACATCATTTATCATATGACCTATCCCAATCCCGTTTATTCACCCAAGACAAATGAAACATGTCCACACAAAGCCTGTACACGAATGTTAGAACACTCCATTCATAATTACCTCAAATGTCCTGCAACAGTGAATGAGTAAAACAATGGAATATAACTCCACAATGAAAAGGATGAATTATTGAGAAATGTAACAATTGGAATAAATGCCAAAGGCATTGCGATGAGTGAAGGAAGTCAATATAAGAAAGTCATATTGTAGGCCGGGCCCAGTGGCTCACGCCTGTAATCCCAGCACTTTGGGAGGCGGAGGCAGGTGGATCACGAGGTCAGGAGTTTGAGACCAGCCTGACCAACATGGTGAAACCCTGTCTCTACTAAAATACAAAAATTAGCTGGACATAGTGGTATGCATCTGTAATCCCAGCTACTCAGGAGGTTGAGGCAGGAGAATTGCTTAAACCTGGGAGGCAGAGGTTGCAGTGAGCCAATATTGTGCCACTGCACTTCAGCCTGGGTGACAGAGGGAGACTCCGTCTCAAAAAAAAAAAAATCACATTGTATTATTTCATGTATGTAATAACCTCAGACAGACAAAGCTATAGAGATGGAGAACAGCTCAGTAGTTTCCAGGGTTGGGGTGGGGGGAGGATGTATTCACATCCTCCAAACTATCCAAGGGTAGTTTGAGACTGCTTTTTAGGGGTGATAGAACTGTTTTGTATCCTGATTGTGGTGATGGTTACAAGAATCTATACATGCATTAGAATTTATGAAAATGCACAGCCCCTCAAAAATAGTCAATTTTACTATATGATAATTTAAAAAATAAAAGAAAGAAAGACAACAAAGGGTCATGAAATGTGGAAAACCACCACTAGTCTCTCGTGGTTATCTGAGTATCTCTGCCCATACAAATAAAACCTCATGGATTTCCACCATGCTATGCCTTCATTCATTCATTGTAGACTTATGTAGCACTTAATATGTGCCAAGCAATTTAAAAATAACTATAAAAGTATTCTGACTGATGGGAAGAACTCAAGACAGGCAATCTCTTCTCCCCTGGGTTTTACAGTAGGAGATTTTTCTTATTAATATATTTATAACACTAAAATAATATCAAAGCAATGCTTGGAGAATAAAATTGTTTTCCCATAAAGTGTTGTGAGGTACAGAAGGTAGATTTTAGAAATAGAGAAACTGAACAAATATTCAAGGAGGCTGAGTGATAGCTCCAGTTCAGCAGGGTATGGTATTATTAAAACACAATTCTTTGGCTGGGCGCGGTGGCTCACGTCTGTAATCCTAGCACTTTGAGAGGCCAAGGCGAGTGGATCATGAGGTCAGGAGTTCGAGACCAGCATGGCCAACATGGTGAAACCCCATCTCTACTAAAAGTACAAAAATTAGCCAGGCATGATGGCGGGTGCCTGTAATCACAGCTACTTGGGGGGCCAAGGCAGAAGAATCACTTGAACCTGGGAGGTAGAAGTTGCAGTGAGCCAAGATCATGCCACAGTACTCACTCCAGCCTGGGTGAAAGAGCCAGACTCCGTTTCAAAAATCAAAAAACAAAACAACCCCCACCCCGACACACACATACGCACAAAACCATAATTCTTCAATTTCCGGACAAAGACTTTAATTCCATTTCACAATATTTGCAATAATGTGTGCTAATGTTGAAATATGTTTCAAGACTCTTAAAATCATTCAGACCTCTGTTCTAGTTACTCCATTTGGGTAAATCTAAGGACAGAATGTGTAATATGGGCAACATCTTTTATGCCAAAGCTGTTTTAAGATCTAGCGGTCAAGACACAAGATATAAGGAAAGCCATGTACTTTATGGTCTTGCCTTTATAAACATTTTAGTAGCAGCATAATTACTTGGAAACATATTTGATACAATGGTAAATGAAAAGGATATGATATAAACTTTTACATATAAAATATTCACAACTATGTGCCCATGTGCTTTTTGTTTGTTTTTAGATGAGTCTTTCTCTGTCGCCCAGACTGGAGTGCAGTGGTGCGATCTCAGTTCACTGTAACCTCTGCCTGCCAGGTTCAAGCAATTTTCCTGCCTCAGCGTCCCAAGTAGCTGGGATTACAGGTGTATGCCACCATGATTGGCTAATTTTTATATTTTTTGTAAAGACGGGGTTTCACCCTGTTGGGCAGGCTGGTCTTGAATGCCTGACCTCGTGATCTGTCCACCTTGGCTTCTCAAAGTGTTGGGATTACAGGCGTGAGCTACCGTGCCCAGCCACAAGCATGTTTTAAGAAGATAAATAATTCTGGGGAAAGATCGTGCAAATACTGACGATGAAAGGAAAAATCAGTAGAGCATTTTCAAGGTTAATTTCAATAACATCAATAACATACATAACCTTCTCCAAAGAAGATACACAAGTGACCAAGAAGCACTTGAAAAGATGCTCAACAGAATTAGGCATTAGGGAAATGCAAATCACAGCCACAATTCGATACCACTTGACATGCACTATGGTAGCAACAAAAGTAATAATGGAAAATTACAAGTGTTGACAAGAATGTGGCACCATTGGAACTCCAGTGCATTGCTGATGGGAACATAGAGTGATATAGCCCCGTGGAAAACAGTTTGGCTGTTTCTCAAAAAGTTAAGCACAGAATTATCGTATGACCCAGCAACTCTCCTGGGTGTACGCCCAGGGGGATCTGAAAACAGCTGTTCGAGTAGGTGCTTGTACTAGTGGCACTGTTCACAGTGGCTAAATGGTGGAGGCAGCCCAGGTGTTCACTGATGATGAAAGGGTAAATAGAGCGTGGTGTGTCTGCACAACGGCAAATTACCCAGCCATAAAAAGAAACAAAGTGTAGATGCATGCTGCAACACGGATGAGCCCTGGAAACATTCCAAGGTGAAAACACTCCAACGTGAAAGAAGTCAGATGTGGATGATCATACAGGTTGTACAATTTATATGCATGTTCAGAATGGACGAGGTCATAGAGACAGAGAGTGGATTGGTGGTTGCCAGGGGCTAGTGGTAAGGTAAGAAGTGACTGCTTAGGCCAGGCATGATTGCTCATGCCTGCAATCCCAGCACTTTGGGAGGCTGAGGTGGGCAAATCACTTGAGCCCAGGAATCTGAGACCCTCCTGAGAAACATGACAAAACCCCATCTCTACAAAAAGTATATAAAAATTAGCCAAGAATGATGGCAAGTGCCTGTAGCTACTCAGAAGGCTGAGGTGGGAGGACTGTTTGAGCCCAAGAGGTGGAGGTTGCAGTGAGTGAAGATCATGCCACCACACGCCAGCCTGGGCAACAGAGCAAACCCTGTCTCAAAAAAAAAAAAAAAAAAAAAAAGAAATGACGGCTTGGTGGGTGTAGAGTTTCCTTTTGGAGTGGTGGCACTGTGAATGTACTAAACGTCTCTAATGGTAAATCTTATGCCTAGTTTACCAAAATAAAAAATATATATACATAAACTTTGCCACACCTGTTTTACTAGGATGTTATTCTAAAGCTAAAATCATGAATGTGACAGAGATTCTACAAAATGGGGTTCATTATGTAAGTATCATTGCTGCTGTAAACAATGACAAAAATCTTGAAATTATCTAAATGCCTAACAAAGGGACTCAGTTAAATGAAGAAGGGTACACACTGGAATGCTATGTAGTTACTAAAACTCATGTTAGAGAAGAGTTTAATGACTGGATGCTAATGCAACTTAAAGTGAAAAAAATAATTTCCCTCTCCTCCCCAAAGTGTGTGTGTACAGATATATATTCTATGCATATATATAGAAAAAGAAATGGCAGGAATCTATATCAAAGGGGAAACAGTGGCTAACTCTGGGTGGAATTATGAATTGAATTTTTTCAATAATAAAATTAGTGCTAAGAATTATTGCTAAGTATCTTGCACTGTTCTAAATTCTATCTCTGTCTATCTATCATTGAATTGTTTAATTCTTACAAAGATCCTATTAGGGAGGTAAAGTAACTTCTTCAAGGTTACAGAGCTGGTAAGCAGTGCAGCTAAAGTTTGGACCCAGGGGCTGGAGCTCTAGAGAATGAGATCTATCTATCTATCCATCCTTCCATCCATCTATCTATTATCTATCTAACATATATTTATTTATTTTTAATAGTGACAGCATCTTGTTATGTTGCACAGGTTGGTCTTGAACTCCTTAGCTCAAGCAATCCACCCACCTTGGCCTCCCAAAGTGCTGGGAATACAGGCATGAGCTACCATACCCAACCAAGAATGAGATCTTAACCACTGTGCTGTAAGATCTTTTTGTCTAATCTACAGTTTCCAAATTTTCTATGATGATCACATTTGGTGATATAAGAGGAAAGAAAGTTATTTTTAAAAATAATCCATCTAACAATAAATAAGAGCTACCATCTCGTTGGGATGGAATATGTGTATTTAAAAATTCTTCTATTTGTTTGGATTTTCCAAATTTCCTCTAATGAATATGCATTGCTTTTTAAATGGAAAGAAAAAAAATACCTCTCAAATAAGGAAAAAGAAGCTTGATGCCAGCCTCTTAAAGCTATGCCCCAAAGGAAAAGTCCATCACTCCTCTACGGGCAAGGACCCTGTAGATTTGAATCAATTGCTTGTGGACCAGAGAGAGAGGAAGGGACCAGTGGGAGTGCCCAGGTGAACTCGGCAGGTGGGGCCAGAAGGAAGTGCCTCCCACACCCTGGCCAGTGGAACATCTCTACGTTACCTTGCAGGGCCTCTTCATGCTTTCCTTCCAGGACACTTTGCTGCTCGTCCAGTCTCTCTCGAAGCTCTAGCTCCCTTTCCTTCTCCACCTGGGGGCAGAGAGTCCCGGGCAGGACTGAGGTTGAGCAGGTTCAGCCGGTTCGGCACAGCATCTCTTATCCACTCACCTGGGCCTGTGTGTGACTTGGTGACCAGAGTCCTAACTCTTCCTCTGAGGGATTGGAATGCTATGCCCAGAGAGGGCACAAGACTTCCAAGATACAGCAGGCATGGCAGACTTTGCCTTCTTTAGGGTTTAGCAGGGGGTTCCCATAGAATTATCTGCATAGAAAAGGATTTAGGAGTATTCTAATCCTGATGCTTACTCAAGGCAGGAAGCCTTCTATGGTGTTTCTCTGCTTGTGTAAGGCTTACTGTTGCAAATGACCTCTAACTTCTACCATCAGGTTCCAGAGCTGCCCCCTGGGGTCACACAGAGCCAGGCTGCTCCCTCAACCCAGGAAGCCCCTCAGAGATCTGAACCTAGTGGCTGTGTTTCCAACGTTTTTCTTCTTCAGGCTGAACCCTCCCAGCCATTCTCACTGTCCCACACTCGAGATGTTTTCCAGTCCATTTACCACCTGTAAGGTACAGCTGATGGGGCAAGACATGACTTAAAGGGGTTCTAGCCCCAGCACACCACTGCATTCCTGTGTAATGAGCTCCCTCCCCTGTAAAATGAAGGGACACAACTTGATGATTCCTGGTGCCCTTACAAGTCTGAAGGTTAAAGATTCCACAGGTAATGGTCAAGGCCAAATGATATTACCATGGTAATCTACCGAAACACACTAAAGACCGGCAGATGCATACAGTTAACCTACATTTCATAAAAGGTGTCTTTCTGAAAAATGTGTCTAAGCAAAGACAATTTCAATGTGTGTGGGGGCACTGGCTGAAGCCTTCCACCCAGGGAACCCCTGAGGGCAGGGTCTGGCCCTGATTTCTCCCTGTACCCCTAGCAGTGCCCAGGCCATACCCTCCCTGCACCCAGTAATCTCCCAGCAAGTCCACTGAGCAAATAAAATCTAGCAGAAAATCTTTTTGTAACAAATAACCATGCAATTTAATAGAGCAATTAGTTTATAACTACAGAGCCTTTTTTTTGAGTCTTGCTCTGCCACCCAGGCTGGAGTGCAGTGGCGTGATCTCAGCTCATCGCAACCTCTGTCTCCCAGGTTCAAGCGATTCTCCTGCCTTAGCCTCCCAAGTAGCTGGGACTGCAGGCATGTGTCACGACACCTGGCTAATTTTTGTATTTTTTGTAGAGATGGGGGTCTTGCCATGTTGCCCAGGCTGGTCTCAAACTCTTGACCTCAGGTGATCCACCCGCCTTGACCTCCCAAAGTGATGGGGTTATAGGCATGAGCCACCATGACCAACCCAGAGCCATTTTTAAAAAGTGACTTTAAATTTCAGAATTTTCAATATTTACTCTGAACATGTTTCATATTTATAATTTAAACTAAAGATAATTTAGAGGAAACCTTTGTATACCACCAGATCTTTCCTGCTGCTCTACCCACTCCCTCTCGTAAAGGAAGAAACGGAGGCAGAGAGAGAGGAAGGGTGAGTGACCAAGTTAGAATGAGGAAAAGGAAATCCCAGGCTGCGGGTTACATTCAGCCATCCCATCACTTAGTGTCCTTCAATCTAGAACTGTTCCCCAGTCTTTCCTCATGTTTCATGGCCTTGACATTTGACTGATATAGGTTAGAAATCTGTAGCATCCCTCAATTTTCATTTCTGGGTAATTTTAAAGCTTCAGTGTCATGCCTTTGGAGAGGTCTTCTCTGACCCCACAGCCTTGGCTAAGAGTTCTATTATGCCCTTTCATGGCACTGTAAACTTTTCATAGCACTTATGGTTGCAGTATGTAGTTCTGTGTAGTTGTGTTCGGCATCTGACTTTCTGTCTCAGTCAGGACAGGCTAAATTATGCTACCATAACAAACAGTGGCAAAGTCTCAGTGGCTTAAGACAAAAGGTTTATTTTGCACCCACTACCTCCCCATTTTATATGGCAGGGAGCTCTGCTGCCCAGGGATTATCCACGATTATCCAGGGATAATCATCCAGGGATCAGTCTGATGGAGCAGCCATTCAAACGGTGCTGTCACTTAGCTAGACAGAAAGACCTTGAGGGTCTTCAGCTGGCAACTAAATGCTTAGCCTAGAAGTGACACAGGTTCTTCTTTCTATAATGCATCAGCCAGAGTGAGTTCCATGGCCCCACCCAACCATGAGTGGGGTCCAGAAAGGCAATTGATCCAGCAGCATCAACGGCTTTTACTCTTCCCAAATAGACTCTCAGCTTCGTGAGGGCAGCTGCCAGCTCTGCTTGCTTTAACCAATGTTCCCAGCACACAGTGGCCTGATAAAAATATGTGTTTAACAGATAAAGGACTCCCTTCTTGGCAAGATGAGTAAGGGACTCTTACAACAGCAACAAAAACCTAATGTAGGCCCTCACTCTGGGATTCACCAAAGTTAGCTGAGCAGGAGAAAGAGAGGGGGTGGGGGCACATGGACTTACCTGTTGTGCCCATTTCTTCTTTTCCTCTTCATGTTGTTGGAGAATTCTGGTTATATCCTTCTGGTGCTGCTCAGCCTCCTCTGATACACAGAGCTGGACAGTTATAGCTAGAGGTGAAAAAAAAAAAAAAAAAAAAAAAAAAAATCTCACAGAGCGGAAGTGCAGTCAGTGCTGACAGAGAGAGTGTGGGAAGTGGGGCTAAGGAATGAGAACCCTGGTCTCTGCCTCAAGAATGATTTCAGGTGGGACCAGTCTCCAGAGACAGACTGTTGAGTCTCTCTGGATTGGGGGATCCTCTTTCAAGGAATAAGCCAATGGTCTCATTTTGTCCCCTGGTCTCCATGTTCTACTCCATTTTTAATTTTTAAATTTATTATTATGATTATTTTAAATCCCCTCAGCAAGGCAGTTTACTTCTATAGGAGGGTGTGGTGCATGGATGGAGCAATGATGGCTGCTGCACACTTGGACAAGGAGGGGAAGGGGTACTTATGCCTGATAGGGATTGTCCCTACTACTATGCCATCCCTATTGGCTAGGGTTAGATCACACAAGCTAGACTAATCCTGATTGGCTATTTTAAAAAGAGCAGGGGTCCAAGCTGGAGTAGTAGGGTGGGTGTTTTGGCAAGAAGGATGGTTATGGGCGTGTCAGAGCAGATAGCCAGGAGTGATCAGGTGACCAGGATGAGTTAGGATGGAGCTAGGGGGAGGAGGAACAGATGTGAACTACTGAATACAACAAGGAAGTTAAACTTTAAAATAGAGAATTAAAGAATAAGAGAGCTGAGCATACTGACATACTGATTCTTTGCAGAGAAACTTGGGGTTGACTATAGCAATCCCCCATCTTGAATTTTTACAGTTTTCTTTTTTTTTTTTTCTCTGTCTCTCTTCAAATTTCCTTAACACGTCTTGGCTTAGTGATTCTGGTTGTTCTTCTAAAAGAAGTAATCTATCTGAATAGGGTGGAGGAGGGGTTGGGGATAATTTAGTAAGAGTTATGTCTACTAGCCTCTGCACCAAGTCCTCGGATGCATGCTATGACCCAACATCTAACGAGAAGTATAATTATCACAGTTGCTAGAGGGTAAGAACTAAGGTTATGGTTTCTTTCCATTGACTGAACCAGCGTTGGAACCAATTTGAAACAGGCTTATTGATGCCAGCATTTTAGCTAGCTTATTTGATAAAGCAGTAGGTCCTTGGAGGGCTTTTGTTATGCTCCCACTGGGAACAGTGTTGTTTGGAATAAAGGTATAACACTGGGTCTTAATTATAACACAAACACCATCTTTCTCCACTAATATTATATTTAGGGCTTTATTTTCTTAGGCCACTGGGCTAGTGGATCCTAATTGTTCAGCTCTTCCTTTGACAGCATCTTTAGTATAGTTAACAAACCACTGGGGGTTGTAATAAATGTAGTTTATCTAATTTACAATTTTTTTTACATTAATTGTTACCTACCAGAACAACATTGACTTAAATCTTGCAGCGATCTGATTTCAGTCTCTAAATTTATTTGGTACTCTTTAAGGAACACCAATTGTATCTAAATAGACATGAGAATCAAAAGACTTATAAGGAGCTTCTCTTATTTGCCGATGTTGTAATTTCTTTTTCTCTGGTTGATGAAATGCCAGGGTAAAGGGATGGTCAATTGGACTACAGCACAAGTGCCATTCGAATTATTTGTCAGAGTGTCCATTAAGGTCCTCCACAATCCCACCGTACATCCTCTCTGGGATGAGTAAGGGAGAACTGATGAGCCAGCTCTTGGAAGTGCCTGACTTCACTGCATCCTGTTAAGTTTCCAAGCAATGCTAAGTTCTGCCCCTATCGTGAGAGATACGAGATGAACTTCGCCTTGGGAGATGGAGGCTGTGAGGCTCTCGGGGGCTGACCCACAAGGTGTTGAACCTCAGGAAACAGTAGTGAAAGAACTTGGCATAACTCATTATCCCAGGCATTGGAATCCTGAGAAAGAGCTACTATACATTCCATGTCCACTTGATTTGGGGACCATCCAAGTGGAAAGGGGACAACCTGGGCCTCTGGTCTACCCTGCACACAAGCGTTAACAGTTGCATTTATTTAAGGTGCGAATGGAATACTTAATCCATTCTAACCATGCATTTACATGCTTATATCCTGTTTTAATGGCTATAGTTTGCCTTAGGTCCTCTACTTCTACCACTGAGACTTTGGTTTTGTCATTGTGTCTAGAGGGAGTGATTGATAAAGAGGTTGAAGGAGCAATAAAGCGCATTTAAAAAATTTCTTTAGGATCCTTTTCTGAAATGTCAGCTCCTATACCATAAATACGACTTAATGAAGGGGAAGAGTTTTCAGATGTTGCAATAACAACAGTAAGCTGTATAGGATTGTATTGGTTATATTGACAGCTAGGAGTAATTCCTTTGGTGAAGTGAAGTGGATATATAGTTTCAAGGACTGACAAAGACCTGTGGAAGCAGTCTATCTTAAACATTTAGTGTCCCATATGACATTAGACAAAGCGGAACATACAGATTCTGTTTTTAAGGGACAAGAGTTTGATTCCTACCAATTACAAATACAGTTAGTATTTCTTGGATTACTAGTATCCGTAGAAAAACTCATAGTGTTTTCCTAATTTGAGGAAGTCTAAGAGGGACAGAGATATTCTTCTGGAAGCAGCAAGCTGTCCTTGGTTATGCAAATCTCCACAAGACATAACTAGACAGAAATTAAAGCAACAGTGTGAGATGAGCCAGATCTAATCACATTAAGAACAAGATGGGGAGAAGTTAAAAGGAAGAAAAGAAGAAAAGATAGACTAAGCTTTTCTTAGCTTTAACTTGGTAGGGTCTGATCCCAGAACAATAGCCCATGATTTTAATGGCGATGGCTCTTTCTTGACTCGGATGTGATGTATTCATCTGTTTTCTGCTGTACGAATGGCAGTCTTGGTGGCTAGTAGCATGAGGTAGGGTGGTCTTCAAGCTGGTGCTGGTGTGCGGAAACTTCAGGGTGGCACCTTGGTCCTAACCACTAAGGAAATACTTTACTGGCTCCTGCAGCATCTTTTTCTTGGTCTGTGCACAGAGTTGCTTAGTTGCCGCGGTATTCATAGGCCTTCTTTCCCCCTGCGTTGCTGAGAGGCAGGGCTTGTTCGTTACATTGGGTAGGTCTTGGTCCCTTACCCACGAGGCCGTTGCAATGAAGCAGCAGGATGCGTCTTCTCATGAGAGAGGGCCTGAGACTGCCGGAGGAGAACAGTGAATCCCAGGCAAGCCCCCAGGATTGTTATAAGTAAAATTTCGATGCCGCAAAAGAAATAGCACTCAAAGATAAACCCACCCAGCAAGGCAGTTTACTTCTATAGAAGGCTGCGGTGAATGGGTGGAGCAATGATGGCCAGCACATCACCCTATTTTTAAAAAAGTTAGTTGTTGACCAGACATGGTGGCTCACACCTGTAGTCCCAGCACTTTGAAAGGCTGAAGTGGGAGGATCACTTGAGACCAGGACTTTGAGACCAGACTGGGCAACATAGTGAGACCCTAGCTCTAAAAAAAAAAAAAAAAAAGGCTGGGCATGATGGCATGCACCTGTGATCCCAGCTACTAGGGAGACCAAGGCAGGAGGATGGTTTGAGCGCAGGAGTTGGAGGCTGCAGTGAACTATGACTGCACCACTGCATTCTAGTCTGGGTAACAGAGCAACACCCTGTCTCTAAAATAGTAAGTTAAAAATTAGTTATCGATACTTAACAATGGGGAAGCTTTTACTTAATAATTCAGATTTCCCATTTTTCTTGAAGAATCCAAAGAAGAACTGGCAACATATGCCTTCCTGTCAACCAGGGGCTGGAGGCAGAAGCAGCTGCCTCCTCTTTGGCCGGCCAGGATGTGGTTCTGCAGTTGGCTATGGTCTTTACCTCCCGATACTAAAAATGTCTATAAAGGGTCACACGTCATCTGCTTTACCCATAAGCATCTGAGTGTGTGGCTCCTTACCTTCAGCTTTTCCCAAGCTGGTAGCAGAGGGAGCTACTTGAGAGCAGGAAGGAAACAACCAGGAAATCTAGCCCTTGCTTAGGGAAACTCCAAAACAGACCCTGCCAATCCATGCTGAGTCTATCGAATGCTAGGTACGACCTAAGGCTGTGGCCATCCTCTCTGTGCCTCAGTTACCTAATATATGAAATCAGGATAATTATGGCACTTACCACATGAGGCTGAGGTGATTAAATCAGAAAACAATGGCAATAAAATTAATAAAAACAGGGTAGGAAGACTGAGAGCTTACCATGCCTGCAACATGCCCGGCACTGTTTCAAGTGTCTCAGTGCTACCAATAGTTGTAAGTACTATTATTAACCCCATCCTATAGATGAGGAAGCTGAGGCTCAGAGGAGTCATGCAGCTTGTTCAAGGTAACCCAGCTCAAAATTAAGGGAGCGGGAATATGAACCTACCCAATCTGATTCCATGAAAACACTCCTAACTACCACCTTATTCTGCTTGCTTGTGCATAAAAGGAAATGCAGGCCGGGCACGGTGGCTCATGCCTGTAATCCCAGCACTTTGGGAGGCTGAGGTGGGCAAATCACTTGAGGCTAGAGGTTTGAGATCAGCCTGGGCAGCCTGATGAAATTCTGTCTCTACTAAAAATACAAAAATTAGCCAGGCATGGTGGCGCCCTCCAGTAATCCCAACTACTGGGGAGGCTGAGGCAAGAAAATCGCTTGAACCTGGGAGGCAGAGGTTGCAGTGAGCCAACATGGTGCCATTGCACTCCAGCCTGGGCCACAGAGAGAGACTCAGTCTCAAAAAACAACAAATACTTGGTGCAGGCCAGTTGCAGTGGCTCACGCCTGTAATCCTAGCACTTTTGGGAGGCCGAGCAGGCTGGATTGCTTGAGCCTAGGAGTTTGAGACCAGCCTGGGCAACATGGCATGACCCCATCTCTATTTAAAAAATAAAAAAGGAAATGCAGTGCCAGGCACTTTGGAAGTGTTCAATAAATGTTCCTTATTATTCATGAAATGCTCTCTAAATGTTTATCTGTGCTCATGACAAGCATTATAGCCTAATACTAGTGTTGCTGCCATTATTATTGTTAGCTTTACTATTAGAAAATTCCATTAGCAAGATCTGACAATGAATATGGAAGAAATGTGGGATGAGGACAATGCCAGTGCTGGTCAGTTCCATCAGGACAGGAGGAGTGAGCTGGTACCCCTGAGTCCTGGCTCCCAGAGGCCATGAGCAGATAGACAGAGGTTAGGTGATAGCAGCAGTTAAGATCAGAGAGCCCTGGATTCTCACAATTCATTTGGCTCAAATTTTGGTCCACAGGATTAGTACCAGATTGACCCCAACTGGAGAGAATCTTATTAGAAATACACATATATCTTTGCTTGGCACAGTAGTTCACACCTGTAATCTCAGCACTTTGGGAGGTCGAGGTGGTTGGATCACTTGAGGTCAGGAGTTCGAGACCAGCTTGGCCAACATGATGAAACCCCATTTCTACTAAAAATACAAAAAAATTTAGCTGGGCGTGGTGGCAGGCACCTGTAATCCCAGCTACTTAAGAGGCTGAGGCAGGAGAATTGCTTGAACCCAGGTGGTGGAGGTTGGAGTGAGCTGAGATCCTGCCATGGCACTCTAGCCTGGGCAACAAGGGAGAAATTCTGTGTCAAAAAAAAATAATAATAACCATATATAAATACACACACACACACACACACACACACACACACACACACACATATGTGTAAATATATATATGTTTAGTAAATATATATATATATATATATTTACTAAAAATGCAGCTTCTTCAGCCCTACTCCCTGAGATTTTAATTTAGTTGGTCTGTGGTAGGTTCCCAGAATCTGCATCTTTGAAGTTTTTCAGGTAAATTTCCTTTTTTTGAGACAGGGTCTTGCTCTGTTGCCCAAGTTGGAGTGCAGTAGTGCAATCCCAGTGCACTGCAGCCTCAACTTCCCAGGCTCAGGTGATCCTCCCATCTAAGGTTCCCAAGTAGCTGGAACTACAGACACACCACCATGCCCAGCTAATGTTTTGCATGTGTGTTTTTTGTAGAGATGGGTTTCATCATGTTGCCCAGGCTCGTCTTGAACTCTTGGGCTCAAGCATTCCATCCACCTTGGCTTCCCAAAGTGCTGGGATTATAGGCAAGAGCCATTGCACCTGGCCTGGATAATTCTTATATGCAATCAGATTGGATTTTGTGGTTCAATTACTTATGTAGTACTTGAACTTCACCTACAATACTCCCTCCAGGCTATAACTAAACACCTATAACTAAATAGGAGGAGATAGGGAGCTCCTCCTATTACCAGGTAGCTCTGATGGTTTTAAATCGACAACCACATAAAAAATTATTTGAGATTGAGCTGAATTCTGCCTGCATGTTGCTACTACCTTGAGGCCATAATACTGACCTCAGGGTCACACTAAACAAGGCTCATCTTTCTTCTCTATTAGGGCACTTCAGACACATGGAGAGAATTGTAGTTTTATGGCAACATATAGTCTTTCCTGGATGTAGTAATTTTTATTTTTATAAAATGCAAATTTCAAAGAAAAGAAAACAAAATAAATGTTATTTCACTGAATTTAGTTCTACTCATTTGAAAAAAAATTAGATATTCAAGTTAGAAGGTTCCCAGATGATCCATTAGAAATTAAAATTAATTTTAACTTATTATATATATATGTGTGTATATATATATGTGTGTGTATATATATATATATATTTTTTTTCTTTTTCAACTTTGGTTTAGATTTAGGAATATGCATGCAGATTTGTTACCTGGGTATATTGCATGATACTGAGTTTGGGGTACAAATGATCCTGTCACCCAGGCATTAAGCATAGTACCAACAGTTATTTATTTATTTTTAAACCAGGAATTTAGTTTTATTTTCTCTGTCCATCTGCAAAATACTCAGGACCAACATAAAAAAGTAATACCTCCTGTGGAAAAAGTTACATTAAAAAGGGGAATGGGGTGGGGTGGTGAAAGGGATTAGTGCCTTAGCCCCAAGGAGCTGCAGCATCTCTGATTGGTCCAGGGAATCGAAAAGATATTGGGAAGATGTAACAGGAGGAAGGAAAATGTGAATTTACTGAGTTAGAGGGCCCCAAAGCAGGCCTCGAGGGGGATCTGGTGGCCGGGGAGTGGGTCTGGGTGGAGGGAGGGACCCCTGTTGGTAGCCATAGGGTGCTGGTCATGGAGGGCCAGTGTATCCATGAGGGGGCATCAGTGGAGGAGGTCTACGCATACCATGTGGAGGCATAGGACCTGGGTGACCCATGGGAGCTCTGAATGGAGGCACTCGGGGGGGGGGCATGTTCATTGGAGGAGGTCCAGGATGAGGCATTCCAGGTTGTGATCGGGGCGGTGGCTGCCCCCCAGAGCGTGGGCATCCAGCATGAGGATGTCCTAAGCCATAAGGGCCATGGTGTGCCAGCTGCATCTGAGACATCCCTGGATAGGGCATCCCACCTGGTGGGAATGGATGAGGATGTGAGTGTCCATGATCAGGATGTCCTGCCCCTGCGGTTCCTGCTGATGGGGGCCCATGTCCTGCAGCCCCAGGAGGCATAGGTGGTGGGGGCATGGCTGGGGGTATCCCAGGTGGGAGGGCTCCAGGAGGCGGCACTGGGAGTGGGAAGGAGCCAGGAGGAGGCATGCCTCGTGGAGGAAGCCCAGACCCCAATGATGATACCACAGGATTGGGGGCAGAGGGTGGAGAAGGTGCATCTGCAAACAGCTGATGAGGGTGGTCAGCCTGGGAGAGTGGGTTCTGAGCTGCCAAAAGTCGTTCGGCTGCTGAGCCATGGTGCTCACCCTTGGAGTCCTTCTTGAAGGTATAAGACATGGTGATAGGGCAGTTATAGAGGTACTGCCCATTCACAGCTTCAATTGCTACATCCGCAGCATCAAATGAAACAAAATTAATAAAGGCATAATCTTTGGAGTTGCCTGTGTCAGGGTCCCGCATAATCTTAGGGGCTTGTAAGATGACCCCAAAGGCGCTGAAAGTATCATAAAGCAACTTCTCATCAATCTCAGGGTCCAGGTTGCCAATGAAAATGTTGGCCCCTGCATCCAGGTTTTTGTTGTGAGCTGATGCCTTGTTCTCCCGTATTGGCTTCCCATAGAGTTTGATCATGTTCATGATCTTAATGGCATAGTCAGCATCTTCCTCACTCAAGAATTCCACAAAGCCATAGCCTTGGTGCTGGCCAGTGACTCTATCCTTTGGCATGTGGGTGTTGACTTCTGGTCCAGCCTGGAGAAACAGTTCCCACAGCAGCGAGCGGTTCACTAACCTTCTCATCCAGGTCCCCCAAGTACACGGTGGCAACCTGGTTCCACTTGGAGATCGCCCGGCAGCCATGGTGAAAGAGCTCCCACTGCCTCCCAGCAGTGGTTCTGCTCTCTCCCCAGCAGTTAGTTTTTTAACCCTTTGCTTCCCTCCCCCGCCACCTGTGGCGACATCTTCTTTCTAAATGAACATTCTCTGTTCCTTTTTTTTTTTTTGAGACAGAGTTTCACAGTTGTTGCCCATCTTGTTGCCCAGGCTGGAGTGCAATGGAACAATCTTGGCTCACCAAAACCTCCACCTCCCGAGTTCAAGTGATTCTCCTGCTTTAGCCTTCCGAGTAGCTAGGATTACAGGCATGCACCACCATGCCCATCTAATTTTGTAATTTTAGTAGAGACAGGGTTTCTCCATGTTGGTCAGGCTGGTTTCGAACTCCCGACCTCAGGTGATCCGCCCATCTTGGCCTCCCAAAGTGCTGGGATTTAAGGCGTGAGCCACTGGGCCCGGCTCTGTTCCTTTAACTGTTCCTTAGAGGACACGTTTTTGAGATTCTTCACTAGTCCGATCTTGCTCCATTGTACTCTCTCCAATTTTTTCTGTATCCCTCTAAAAATGTACTTTCCAGGAACATATATAGCACTCTAGGTGTGGTATTAACAGCGTAGAATAGGGAAGCACAGGTCAGGACTATTACCTCCCTGATTTTAGACATGATACTCCTATTAGTGTAACCTATATAAGATCTCATGAGATATTTAAGTAGCTGTATCATCTGTGCTGAGTATAGATAGGAAACCTCATAGATGGCAGCTGGGGCCTTTGTGGGTCTGGCTACTCACCTGTGTCCCCATTGAGGGGACCTAATTCCTGGGACTCTGGTCTGGGTGGCTGTTCTGGTCCTTGGCGCTTCTGGAAGAAATGAGACAACAATAAGGTGCAGGTAGAGGGTGGGAGGTCAAAGCGAGGATGGCTGCTACAGCGGGATTCTTCCAAAGGCAAGGCAGGACCTTCAGTCACACCAGACCCGGCCCCATGCCCGGTGCATTTAGGCTGCTTCACCAGCTCTAGGCAGCAGCCCTCTACCCGGGGGGAGGGACCCCAGAACAGGATTTCTCATCCCTGTCAGGGAAACCCTTGGAGGAATTTGATGGTGCTTGACCTATCCTTAGATCCTTGCTGCCTGGCTCCTGCTGCCATCCGTGGGGGCCTCCCAGGTCACCTCTTCCTTCTCTTAGGATTTGGCCAGGCCTGCTGTCACCCTCACTCCAGCTATGCCCTTGAGGTGCCCTGAAAACCTCTCAGCTCCCAATTCAGAGATTTTTGTTTAGAGAAAACTCAAACCCTTTCTCCTCTGCTCTCACACCACAATCATCATCCACACAGAAGAAGACTTCTGTGTGTGTGTGAGGGGTTCTCCCCACCACCAAGCAAGTAATCAGTTCTGTGGTGGACATCAACCGGGTGTCCTCTAATTCACCTCTGACACTATCTACCGGGAGACGGGGTCAGATCCCACAGGTGGAGAGCTCAGTCCCCAAAACTGTTTCCCTCCTTCCCCACAGTCACAACTATAAGCCTCCAGAAACTTTGACAGATGGGCTTCAAGTTGAGGTTTCTTTGACCTCCTCTTTGGGTTTAATTTGCTGGAGTGATTCATAGAACTTGGGGAAGCACTTACTTACAATTATTGATTTATTATAAAGGATAGTACAAAGGATACAGATGATGAAATGCATAGAACAAGGTATGGGAGAAAGGGCGGGAGCTTCCATGCTCTCCCTGGGCACCACCATCCAGGAACCTCCACGTGTTCAGCTATGCGGAAGCTCCCCAAACACAATCCTCTTGGGTTTTTTCATGGAGGCCTCATTACATAGGCATGATTGATTAAACTATTGGCCATTGGTGATCAACTTGACATTCTAGCTCCTCTGTCCTCCCCAGAGGTTGCTGGGTGAGGCTGAAAGTCCCAAACCTCTAAGAGCAATAATTAATACAAAAGGCTTTCTACATTACAAAGCAGTGTCAGTGGCTCCCAGATTTCATACATGAGTAATATATATATATATTTTCTGAGGCAGAGTCTTGCTCTGTTGCCCAGGCTGGGGTGCAGATGCACAGTTCTGGCTCACTGCAACCTCCGCCGCCTGGGTTCAAGCGATTCTCAGCCTCCTGAGTGACTGGGACTATAGGTATGCACTACCACACCCGGCTAATTTTTGTATTCTTAGTAGAGATGGGGTTTCGCCATGTTGGCCAGGCTGGTCTCAAACTCCTGACCTCAGGTAATCCACCCGCCTCGGCCTCCCAACGTGCTGGGATTGCAGGTGTGAGCCACTGTGCCTGGCCAAATGAGTAATATTTTTTAATGGAAGAGTTGATATAGGCTGATAAGCAAGGATACTGAAAAAAACTGTTTGTAGATTATCATTATTTTATAAAATAAAGGACATTTTATTCTTCCAAAATATAATAGGGAAAAGCTTAAGAACAGTCTTCCAGGAAAGGAGAACTGACATGCTTCCTCAACGCTACACGCTCGCTCACACCATAATTTTCTCATTTCATGCTGGAGAGGCAAAAAGTTGATTGAAGCCTGGCACTGGTCACTGGACCAGGATTCAGGTAAAAAAAAAAAATTAAGTCCTTTTGTATGTTTTTCAAGATGCTTTTACAAAGAAGAGAAAGAGAGAGGGAGGAAGGAAGGGAATGGGCAGAAAGGAAGGAAAAAAGGAAGGAAGGAAGAAGATGTTCTAGACTCAATTTTAAGAAACATTTTAAAAAACAAATCAGGCCTGGGTGCAGTGGCTCATGCCTGCAATCCTGGCACTCTGGGAGGCTGAGGTCAGTGGATCATTTGTGGTCAGGAGTTCAAGACCAGCCTGACCCACATGACAAAACCCCCTCTCCACTAAAAATACAGAAACTAGCTGGGTGTGGCGGTGTACAACTGTAATCCCAGCTACTCAGGAGGCTGAGGCAGGAGAATTGCTTGAACCCGGGAGGCAGAGGTTGCAGTGAGCTGAGATCCTGCCACTGTACTCCAGCCTGGGCAGCCAAGCAAGACTGTCTCAAAACAAAAGCAAAAACAAAAACACAAGTCAAACTATGAAGACGCTATAAAAATGTTCAATAAGAATTATTGCTATAAAAAACAAACTTTACTTTTTACTATGGTGAAAACATTTTTTAAAGGTAATTACTAGAATAAAATGTATTAAAAATATCCTAAACTGGCCAGGTGTGGTGGCTCACACCTGTAATCCCAGCACTTTAGGAGGCCGCGGCAGGCAGATCATGAGGTCAGGAGTTCAAGACCAGTCTGGCCAACATGGTGAAACCCTGTCTCTACTAAAAATACAAAAAATTAGCCAGGCACAGTGGTGGGCACCTGTAATCCCAGCTACTTGGGAGGCTGAGGCAGGAGAATCATTTGAACCTGGGAGGTGGAAGCTGCAGTGAGCTAAGATCACACCACTGCACTCCAGCCTGGGCAACAAGAGCAAAACTCTGTCTAAACAAACAAAAAAAGTCCTAAACTGAAGAACCACTGAAACACTTCTAGAAAGCAGACTTCTCACTGTGGAGAGAAGATGTATCAAGGGAAGTCTTCTAGAATAGTCTGCTTCTCCCCCACTTGCTGGGCATAGAACCCGGCATGTGTAAGACCCTGGCAGACTGAGTGAGGCGCGGTGCCTCCCCCAGATCCTCGTGCCCTGAATCTGCTGGGTGCTGGGCACACCTGACAATTTAGCTCCCTAACCACCCTGGTGAAGACTCAGTCCTCGCTTTCCACCAAAGAGGAGAAAGCCTGGTCCAGGCATGAGTCAGAGAAGCTGTCAACACTGGAATCTGGGGAAGTGACAGCAGCCAGACTCCCACCCTGAGCTGGAGGAAGGAGGGAGAAAAACACAAATGATTGTCTCTTCCTTGTTGCCATGACTGATGAGATGAACTCAGACAATACTTTTATGGGAGCCAGAAGGCCTAGAGTCTAGTCCCAGCTCTGTTACAAACTCGGACAAATCCCTTCACCCTCTGGGCTTCTTTTCCTCCTCTGTGAGATGGGGGTGAGGAAGCCTAGTGGTTTAACTAGAGGATCCCATCATGTTGAAACTCCCAGCTCTCATCTCAGCTCCTCTCAACAGCACTGTGAGGCAAAGGTCACTACAGGTGAGGAAACTGAGGCTCAGGGAGGTTTAAGACACAGTCACATTGTGCCTTAATGTTCAAATCGGCATTAGAGACTGCAGAGCAGAGTGGTTAAAAACTTTCGAATTCTAGAATCACCCAGGTCTAGATTCAAATACTAAACCCAACACTGTGTGACTGCATGACCTCTCCATGTCTCGGATTCCTCATGAGGCTCTTTTAGGATGAGATGAAAGGATGCACCTGTGGTGTCTGGCATACACCAAGAGCTCAAATATTGCACATGATGATTGCCATGTTTCAGAAACATGGCAAGAACAAAGATCCCACATGATCTGCTTTGGCAGATCTCTCAGGCTGCCCCTGGGTCTCAGGTTTTGTTATCTGAAATAAGATCGTAAGCTCATGAAACACTGCCTTCTTTCAGATAACCGCCAGAGAATGGTGGCGAACACTTCTCCACAAACAGGTTTCGGACCACAGGCAGTGCATGGCCGTGTACTTGAGTCCCCAGCTCTTGACAACACAAGATAACTCCTTCAGAATGGCAATCAAGGCTATCACCATCTGTCCCCAGTCTATCCCCACTCCAATTTCTTTTCTCTTTTTTCTGTTTCTTTCTCTTTTTTTTTGAGATGGAGTCTTGCACTGTTGTCCCAGCTGGAGTACAGTGGTGTGATCAGGGCTCACTGCAACTTCCACCTCCCAGGCTCAAGTGATTCTCCGGCCTCAGTCTCCCAAGTAGCGAGGACTACAGGCATGCACTACCACACCTGGCCAATTTTCGTATTTTTGGTAGAGATGGGTTTCACCATGTTGCCCAGGATGGTCTTGAACTCCTAGGCTCAAGTGATTTGTCTGCCTTGGCCTTCCAAAGTGTTGGGATTACAGGTGTGAGCCACGGCACCCAGCCCCAATTTCTTAATACTTACAAACATCTTCTTCCAGTTACAGCAGTAGTAGGCAGTTGTTGTAGAAAGTACAGAAAATACATGAAAATATAAAAAGAAAATCTCACTACCTAGAGAGAATCCCATAACCTGGCAGCATATATTGTTCATCTACATACACATATTCAATATTGGGATTATCATATATATTTCCTCATATCTTACTTTTTCAAACATGTTATGAATGTTTACTATGCAGCATTAACTATTCTGCAAATGTGTTAATTTTAATGATCAACAGAACATCCCTATGGATGAGTTTAGTCATTTACTATTGAGCGTTTAAATTGTTTCTACTTTTTAAAGTGCAGATTATGCTTTAATAAACATATTTATTTAGGCCAGGTGTGGCAGCTCACGCCTGTAATCCCAGCACTTTGGGAGGTCAAGGTAGGTGGATCATTTGAGGTCAGGAGTTCGAGCCTAGACAACATGGTGAAACCCCGTCTCTATTAAAAACACAAAATTTAACTGGGCGATAGTGGCACACACCTGTAATCCCAGCTACTTGGGAAGCTGAGGCAGGAGAATCACTTAAGCCTGGGAGACAGAGGTTGTGGTGAGCCAAGATCGCACCACTGCACTCAGGTTTGGGTGACAGAGAGAGACCTGGTCTCAAAAAATAAAAAATAAAAATAAAAAAAAAACCCATTGATTTATAAAATTGTTTACACATCTAGTATTACATGTCTAATATCGGAAGGGTCTACCAATTTACTCACCCTCAAATGGTACACAAGAAGACCAGTTTCAGCTAGGTCTAGTGGCTCACACTGGTAATCCCAGGACTTTAGGAGGCTGAGGTGG